AATTCTGTCTTTATCTGTTGGCAAAGCTGTGGTGACTTGTTGAGGAACAGCAAGGCACACTGCATCATTGTGAATGGCTCGTATTTCAGAAGTATTCACTGAACTGTCTTGACTACTACCAGAATTCTTGACATCATCAAATATACTCACTGTGAACTAAAAACACATACTTTTAGAATAACCCAGGGACAACTTTCAAATGTACCAAATATTACACTTTGTAAAAGCTAGTTCTGCTTAATCTATCAACTGTGAATCAGCACTTACCTGTCCAATAAAAAATTCTCTCTTTCTCTGTGTGAAGCACAGCATAGCAGAAGGAAGAAACTATTCAGCTGCAGAAACTTTAATCTGCATGCTTACTATGTGTTGAGCATCAATCTTTGGTATTCTAAGAAATGATGCATAACAATTGTAATATTTCCTTTTAGTAGACTGGCTTTCATTTATTTTTAACAATTATTTATTATGGATGCCAACATGTGTGTACATGTACACACTTGTCACTGAGCTTGTGTGGTCAGAGGACAACTTGCATGAGTGGATTCTCTACTTCTACTATGTGGGATCTGGAAATTAAGCTTAGGTCACTGGGCTTGGCAACAAGTACCTTTATTTGCTAAACCATCTAACCAGTCGTAGTAGGCTAATTTTTAATGAGCATTTCATATCTCTTACAAGGAAATCTAGTCACACTCACATTGCTAACTACTGTACTCATTTAACCAAAGGTACTATGCAGTTAGTCGTTTGTGAAGTGTCTAATATCAAATGGAAAGAGCCAGCATTCTAAAAATATCCTGAAATCATTTCTTTCTAAAATATATTTTGGGAACGTTTACTTAAAAGTATCAAATTTGTCCTCTTTAAAACATGATCTCACATTTTTTTGAGATTTTGAAAAAAAATTAGAAAGACAACCTATAGAAGTCTCAGGAAAAAAAAAAGTTTGACCTAATAGAACACATCTAAAATACCCAGTGTAAAACTTTAGATTTATATGTCCCCCATTTCCCCTTTAGAGTAACTTACACATGACCAACAAATGTTAAAATACAAAAAGACTGTAACATTGGCTTAGACCACCTACAAATTCATTTTAAAATCTAATTTAGTAAATATAAACAAGTCTATTTTACATTCCAACAGATTTCTTAAAATATTGCTTTATGTTACAACTATAATTTGGATCAAAGAACTAAAACCTAACATTGTGAATTTAATACTCATATCACCTATAAATAAGCACTGATAAATACTATAGTGGCCATATAGCTACCAGGTTAAGGAATTCTTTCTAAAAATATAAAACTTGGCCAAGTCTTACAAGTTACTCTAGACATCCTACTCTTGGTCAGAACTAAGCTTCCAAAGTATTGATTTTAACATAAACATCATGTAAATTGGGTCACACTGTTTACAATATTATCAGCATTATTAACCTGTCAGTCACCCTGTTTTGTAATCTTCTCAGCAATATTTACATTAGCATTACTGATGTTCACAGTATAGTTGACTGTTTATTATAGAACTAAGCTTTCACACTATAACATCATGGCAATGCTTGAATTACTCAGAAATTCTTTGTATTGTATTTTTGAAATCTCAAAATTAAAATGTATATATTTCAAGACCCGAAAATTGTCATTATTTTATCAGGTTACAGTTTTAAGTAAGACACATCAGTAAAATTCCTGATGGTAGGTAAAATTAAAAAGTGATCCCTTCCCAGGCATGATAACAAATGCTTAGAATCCCAGCACTGGGGCAGTAGAGGCAGAAAGAACATGGGGATCCCAGGTAACATACAGTGTGGACTCTATCTCAAAAGAGCAAGAACTGGGCATCGTGCCGCACACCTCTGATCCTAGCACTCAGGAGACAAAGGCATTGAACCTCTGTGAGTTCCAGAGAAGCCTGGTCCACATAGGAAGTCTCAGGCCCACCAAGGTTATGTAGTGAGACCCTGTTTGAAAATAAAAGGAAGGAAGAGAGGGAAGTAGGAAGGAAAGGAAAGGGAAGGTAATGGAAAAGAAGGAAGAGATGGAGAGAAGAAAGAAGAGAAGAGAAGAAAAAGAGAGGCAAAATAGGAGGAAAGAAAAAAAGAAGGGAGATTTTTTCACTAAGGATCTCCAAGCATTAGAGTTTCTTAAAGTTACATCTAACAAATATATACTGACTATTTTCTGCATGTCTAGGGCTTTTACATTTTGTCTCAAATTAGAGCACTATGTAAGGTATCTCTTGAAGAAGCTTGCAATCCCACAAAGACATAAAAAACAGAGTGAAGAGTCTAGCACATCAAGGATACTGTAACATTGGAGCTTTGTCATGGCCAGGATTGATAGTGCATGTGTGTGGCTCTAAGTACTCAGAATGCTAAGAAAAGGATCACAAGTTCAAAATCAGCCTGGGTTACAAAGTGAAATCAAGGCGAACTTGAACACCTAGGTAACACTTTATCTCAAAACAAAAAAATTTACAAAAAAAGTTGCTCAGTGATAGAGTACTTGCCTGGCATGTGTATGACCTCACAAAGCTTATTTCCCAATACAAAAAAAGAAAAAAAGGAAAAAAAAAAAGCAAGACCAGGAAGTTAAGGATTATTTCCAACAAGGAAAATACCTTTTGGGTGAAGACTAATTTAAACAGTAAATATTCTAAACAGAAAATATTATAACTATTATATAAATGATTTCTTTAGATCCTTTCTTCTGATAACAAGGAATGTATCATTGTTAATTTTACATAATAATTACAGCAAACGAACAAGAAATTGTATATAAATATCTAAAAAGTGTATGAGTTCTTAAGTCAAAGAGAAGAAATATTAGGAACCTTAACTACAAAAAGTATACTTAGCATTGATATTTGTAGCCCATTAAAGCAGAATAATTTCAATATTATCAATGTCATTTTTAAAAAGATTTAATTATTTATTGCATATACAGTGTTCTGCCTGCAGATACACCTGCAGGCCAGAAGAGGGCACCAGATCTCATTATAGATGATTGCAAGCCACCATGTGGTTGCTGGAAATTGAACTTAGGACCTCTAGAACAGCCAGTGCTCTTAACCACTGAGCCATCTCTCCAGCCCCTCAATATCATTTTTTAAATCACTAAACTCCAAATGAAGCAAGAGAATACCATCTGAGTCAATTAATAAATCTGGTCAAATTATAATCATTGTGACATTACATAAAGTCATTTATTTCTGTCATAAAGAAATAAAACAAACTGAAATGTAGGCAAAAAATGAATAAATAAAGAACACTGTTTACAAAGCAAAACAAAACAAAAAATAAAATGGCAATGAGTTCTTCCAAACACTTCAAGACATGAAAGCCTAAAAACGAAGGAGGGACTGTCCCTAATGAAAACCAGTAAAGAAGCTGTGTTTGGTTTCTCACACCTTTAATCTCAGCAACCTGGAGGCAGGGACAGGCGAATCTCTCTAAGTTTGAGGCTGCCTTGTCCACAGAGTGAGTTCTAGGACAGCCAAGGCTATACAGAGAAATTCTGTCAAAAGAATGGTGGGGAAGGGGAGGAGGTGATAGAGAAAAGACAGTAAAGAAACAAAACCAAAAGTACTACGAGATTTTAGATGAGATCCTAAATCAGTAGACAAATAATTCACAAAGATGATCAGTAGGGCCATGCATAATAACATATTCCTGCAGTCCCAGAACTAAGGAAAGTTAAACAGGACAATCGTGGGTTTGAAGCCAGTCTGAGTACACAACAAGACTGTCTCAAATAAAACGTCAAACAATAAAGGCAGTCAGTCATGGTAGGATATAACTGTAATGCCAACCCCAAAAGGCTGGAGCAGGAGGATAGTTAAGTTCTAGGCCAGTCTGGGCTACAGAGTAAGACCCCCATCTTTACACTATAAACAAAGGGGTGAACAAGATGGCTCACAGGGTAAACCACACAAGCCTGATGACATGAGTTCAAAACCCCAAACTAAGATGATAGAAGGAGAAAACCAACACTTCCTTCCAAGTTGTTCTCTGACTCCAACCTCCACAGGTGCAACCTGACAAACACACACAAATAAGTGCAATTTTAACAACAACAACAACAACAAAACCCTATGTCTTTAAAATTAAAACAAAATACTAAAAACTTAATACAATTAAGTTAATAAAATTAATACAATTGTTTGGTTGGAATCTCCAGCTCACCTCTGCAATCTAGAAAGCCTGTCTCTCTGTCCAAACCGTGCTCACTCAGAGTCTCCAAACAAGAAAAGGTACCTAAAGCCTTGGTTCCACATGACTGGCAGCTACTGCAGCTTCCTCCTTTGAAGTTGCCAGCTGTCCAAATCCCTGCCTAAAGTGCTCAGTTTTTGACCATACTTGGGGGAAAATCCAGTTAGAGTTGGTCACATCATCACTTCTGGCCTAAAACCTATAAAGTTTCCCGGCTTTCATTTGTGGGCACCACTTCACAGGCCTCCATCTCTGAGACTAAAGAATCTGCCTGGGGGTTGCTTTGCTTAAATAAACCTGTTGTTATACTTTTTCAATTTGGCTTGAATTAGCGTACTACATTGGCAGAAGAACCTATTATTGGGGATAGGGGTAGAAAAACAATTAACAATAAGAAAAATTTGAATACTGACCATAAATTAGATATTATATAAATGTTAAATTTACAGAATTATAATATATAATATATATATATATATAATATAGCTACATAAAAGAATACATCTGTTCTCAGAAGATGCATGCTATGGTACAAAACTAGATGACTTTGGTGTTAGCACATTAACCTCAAGAATTTAGCAAAGTATAGAGAGACATGCAGAGGAAAAAAAGAAAAGGTAATAAACATTAACTTGGAATCTAAGTAGGGAAGATTCACCCATGGAATCCTAAACTTCCCTTAAGCTCTCAATCTTAAAGATGAAGAGTGAAGCGGAGAGGATGAGACATCCCATCACACACAGCGTCCTCGAAAACAGCAGTGAGGACTTTCAGAACACATTACCTGAGTTCTCTCAGCAAGAGGACGGTCAGACGAATGTGGTGAGTCTTTGGACAGAGATTCAGCAACAGAAGGTCTGTCTTCAACAAGATCACCCTTCGATGTCCTTTCTCCAGGTAAAAGGTACACATTTTCCTTATCACTGTCATCCTTTGACCTTAAAGTTTCTGTCACCAGTAAAGCCCGTGGCATCGCGGCTGTGGATCGGGGACGAACTGGTCTTCCTCTCTGAACAGTTTCCCATCCTTCAGCATCTTTCCGTTCTATGCAATTAAGTGACAAAAATAAATCAAATTTTCTTTAGATGGTAAAAATATTGGGAAACCGATACAATAGAAATGTTTCCCAATCCAATTTCATTAATTTCTCTTATGCCATTGTTTTTCCTAAAATATTTTAAGGTAAATTCTAGACATTATTGCACTTTTACTCAGTCTGTTTTTTAACAGAAAACATGTTTAATACTATTAGTATACCCAACGAAAGTAATAACACAATAAATGATATCAACTATATATTCAATTTTTAGTCATGCTTAACTTTAGCAAAATGTAGTACATATTATTAAGTATATCTTGTTTATATTTAGATATAATACAAATTAAAAGAGAAATCATGAGTAAGAACCACAGAGGAGGAAAAAAAACTGAATTACACAATTAAAAAAGTTTAACAAAAGATTTCACTTCCCAATTAATTTAACCAGTTCCCCTTCAAACCATGATAATCAATCACTTCATTCTTTAAAAGAAAGAAAAACATTACTGAAAACTTGGACCTAATCCATGAGTCCAGACAGCCAACACAAATACTACCATATAATTAAACAACTGGCACAAGTAAAAAATAATTATTTCAGAATAAAAACTATACCAAGATCACTAGGAAACAAAATATACTTACAAATTACATCTTCAATGAACCTCCAGTGAAAACTATATTGATAAATCATTCTCATAATAATGAATGATTAAGAACAGCAAATCATGCATTAAACTGAGCCACACTAAACAGAATGTTGGAACAGAAGTATAAAAACTAAAATTAAAAACTAAACACTAAAAATTACAATTCCTTTCACAATTTTATATGTATAAATTTTCCAATATTATAAATTTCATTAAAAATTGCATTCAACTCAATTCAACACACTAATTGAAGAATAATTGAAATACCCAACCTGGTTGTGATGCATTACTTATCACAACATTTAGTTCACTAATGCTCGATTAGAATATTTATATTAGTGTCCAAGAGACAAACTTTCTGTAATTTCTATGTTAGGTCTTGATGTTGAGATTATGCTCATCATAAAATATGATCTTTCCCCCAGGATAAATTTTCATAGGCTTGATATTTTTATTTTAAAAGTCTAGAAAACTTTACGCATACAGCCATCTTGACCTAGAATTTTCTTTGTGAAAAAGTATTTCAGATTCACATTTTTTAAGATACTTATAAAGTCCCTTTAAGTTTTTCTAATTCTTGTGATGCAAATGTGAAGTTACAGTATAAGAATTTTGTTAATTTCTTATGATTTTCCAAATTTGAGGTATAATACTGCTTTTAATGCCCTATTACTATCTTGTCAATCAATACTGGCATTCTCTGCAACATTCCCTAGTTCTCTTTATTCCTTCACCCAGATTATTAGAGTGGTCATTTTATTCATCTATCTGAAAAATACCTTTTAACTTTACAACTATCTACTTTTCTTTTTAAGTTCCTTAGGCTTAACCTTTTCTTTTGCAAATTCAAAAGAAAGGGATTTTGCTTTTTCTTCTCTATCTCATAAGTTTTTAAGCATTCACCTTTATTCAATTCACTTTCTCAAATCTTCACTGAGATGTTCTTTCTGACATATTCATAAATATCTTATAAAGTCCCAAATTCTTTGGAATTATACAGTTATCTTAATTCCATGTAATAGTAATAAATACATTTTATTTCTATTTTATAAAGGGTGTGTACATGTGCACATATGTGGGCGTCAGAGGCCAACATTCAGGAGTTGGTTCTCTCTTTCTACTATGTGGTTCCCAGGTATCTAATTCAGGTCATCAGTACTGACAGCAAGTCCTTTATCTACTGAGCCATATTACCAGCACACCTCACCTCTGAAATGATTTAAATCATCTGAAATTTCCTAAGACTTTCTAACAATATGGCATGTTTTAATTTTGGTAAATGTTCCATGTATGTAAGCATATGTATTTAGAGTTAATAGTTCAGGTCATAAAAAAAGAACTTGAACTGTTTTCTTGCCAAAAACAGCCATAAAAACTAAACAAAATATATAAATGAGCTGTTTAAAACACTGGAAGGCACCCAGCATAAGCATATCCTGAAACACTACAATTTCTGAGTAAAGGGAACGGCAGCATCAGACCTACATTCACCTTAGTATTTTGACTGAAGACATTTGAGACTGGGAGTTCAATGAACTGAGTTCTAGCAAAAGCCTGCATTCCTGATAGCTAAACAGGCATTAGAGGCCAGAGGCAAAGTCTTACAGAAAATGAGGGATACTACAGAGAAATAAGCAAAAGGAAGGAAGGAAGGAAGGAAGGAAGGAAGGAAGGAAGGAAGGAAG